AGTGGTTTCAACTTTTTATATCCTGTGTATTTTTAGAATTAGAAAAAAGGGGGTGATATAACTAAGATGAAAAGATAGAAAACTATCCCAGGGTTTCGCTCTTTGGAATTAAGATTATGATAGACCTATCTAGATGGTCAGATGGTCTCCCATAAAACAGCTCCTGTAAAGAAATGGACTACTGATACAGGCAACAGTATGGCTGAATCTCAGAAACAGTATGCAGACCAAAACAAGACAAACGCCAAAGGGCAAGGGCTGTACGATTCCACTCCCATGAAACCCCAGAAGAGGAGAAACCAGTGTGTAGGAACAGAAAGCCGATCAGTAGTGACCTTGGGCAGGGAAAGACTAACTTCAGAGCAGCAGAAAAGAACTTTTTGGGGTGACGGACATGTCCTATGACTCGACAGCGGTAAGAGTTACACGGGTGTGAAACTTGTACTACACAGTTAAAGCAGTTACCTTTTACTGTACGCAGATTGTACCTCAGAGTTGATTTTTAAAGTCAAATAACTAAACAGGTCAATAAATCCTAAATTCTCATCTTTAAATCATGTCAAAATGAAACTTTAATGCACCAAGAAAATATTTTCAATTGTGTTCACTTTCTTATCTGTCAAATAGGGATAGTAATGGTGCCCACCTCATGCAGTTGCAGTCAATAGTAAATGACTTACTGAACTTCTGTAAAGCATTTAGGCTAGTGCCTGACATACAGGAAACACTGTAAGTTAATATTTTTTATTATTATTATTTTCAACCAAGCCCTGGTTCTGCCCTGTAGAATAGTTTCATTATTTGTATTTATTAAGAGTTTTTTAACTCAACTCTAACAGTCTTCTACTCAAAACCCCCCAAAGGTTCCCCACCTCACTGGCAAAGTCTACTCTGGTCCTTCTGGCGACCCGAGAGCTGAGCCCACACTTCTTTGACCATTTACTCCACCCTCCTCAGGTCTGTTCCAGGTACGTGAACCACAGAACCAACCTCCTCCACTCTCCCTACCCAGCCCTTCTCTCCATACTCTTTAGACAAATGTTGGCTGTGATCAGCAAGGTAACTCTGCTCTAGAGCATAACATTGGCATTGGCTGCTGTTACATAAAGCTGCATGCACCATCTCACATGGCCAAAACATACTAATGTTTTTATTTTTAAAAATATATAAGAATAAGCAAATTTTATGGGTGTTTCATTTAAATTTATATAAGTAATTCCTTTTATATGCTTTGCCCAGAGAATTATCAGCAATTATTGTATCAGTTTAATCCATTTAAAGCACCTAGTTTCTTAAATACTGACTTGATCAAAACTAACTGGAAAGTGACAGCAATACGTGATGGAATATATTAGACCCAATTTTCCTTAATATTAAGGACTATTCATAATATATTCATACTAAAATATGTATTATTGCTACAATAGACTAATCATCATCATCAAAGTAATTGTTACAAGCAAAAAACAGCTTAGAATCACACAGTATTAAAATCTCTAAAATTCTATGAACAACCCATTTTTGTATAGATTTGCAAACAAGAATCTAAGCTACTATGCTGGAACAAACGATGGGAAAAAAAACAAACAAGCTTCAGTTTACTGAAATGGCATTAAATTATATTTGGTTAAGAAATGAGCAGGACTGCTATAACAATAAACAGATGAAAACACAAACCAAGAAACACTTATACACCACTTTTGAAAAAGAACAGGAGTCAAATTAGTTCTGAAATACAAAAAAGTACCCTCTTTCAAAAAGCTGTCAGGTCCACTAAGTCGTCCAACTGAAGAAACTGTCCTAAAGCCTGGTGCTAATCTCAGTAGTGAACACACATTATCACCACACTCCTGCTCCCTTACAATCCGGTTTCCCTAGCATAGTGGGGAGGATATCCTAAAAATGGAAATCAGCTTGTGTCACTGTCCAGTAGCCCTAAAGGCCCTATAAACCTTAGCTCTCACACCAATGTCCTCTTATCCCAGAGCCCCTGATGGGGCCAAGCTCCAGACCATGGCTTGCTCTCTGTTCTGTGAACTACCACGCTCATTTCCACTCCAGGGCCTTTGTACTACTATGTGTTCACTCTGCCTGGAATTTCCTTTTTCCAGATCTTCACGTGTCTATGCGGCTCCCGGTTATTACCTAAGTTTCAGTTCTACTAGCAATCACCTCCACAGAATAGTCTTCTCTGACCATGTAATCCAAAGACCACCTTTCACCTCCAGCCATCATCCTTTATAACAAGATCTTGTTTAATTGTCTTCACAGCACTGTTCACTATCTGAAATTACTTTGCTTGTCTTCCTGCTTTTTTAACCGTCTCCCTCTTGGAGTATGTTACTGGCAGAGCCCTTGCCCACCTAGTTCCCTGTAGAACCCATAACATACTGGGGTACAGTCTGTGCCTGATGAAAGAGGGAAGGAATGAATGAATGTTAGGGACAACTGAGATAATGGACCCATTCCTGAGATAAAGCCATTCCTAGATAAGTCTAGGAAAATAAGAAGGAAAACAGTGGAACATCTCAAAAGTTAAGTATCAGGATGGGTGTGCAATTGAAGCAAGTAGGATACCGACGATCTGAGAATGCTGCCTCAATAGTCAGTGCTGAAAATACTGGCAGGCTGTGGTCTCTATTGCTTCTTCTAAAGGAATCAATAACAAACAATACGATATGCCCATGACGAGGATCCCACAGTCCCTGAAACTCAACTGTCAGGCATATATAAACAAATTATTCTATGCTATTGTCTTCAAGACCATACACATCATAAGAAACAGAACTGACAACTAAAATCCATCAAAGCAATGCTGATCCGTTCCCGGAGAGAATAACCTAACCCTAAAATAACCGTCAGGATTGTATGTATAAGTATTTATAAGTCAATCTTCTTCAAGTTTAAACTTTTTTATATCTGAATTTTGTTGTGTGGTTATTTCTCAGTTTTTCGAGCACTTACTGCTCATTTTCACTGTCTGAAAATGAGAGCAATAAATACAAGAAGGGAAAACTGTAAATTATCCTGAAATAAGTCTTAATCCTTAAAAATTACTGGGGTGATTGTTGAAAAACACTGATAGATTTCATGCCATAACAATACGGTCTTAACAGCATATAACTAACATTCTTCTAATAATGAAAATATAACAAAAGATGCTAAAAATTTTTCTCATAAAAAGTGGGCAATTTTTATAATACAAGTAAAAGTTTCATTACTACCAGACCATTTAAATTACACCCAAATCAGAAATGTGTTAACCATTAGAAACATAAGAGGACACTTTTCCACTGATACTTGGCATTTAGGATCAAAGGCAGTCTTCTGCAGATCTGATATTAAAACTTGTCAAAAGCAAAATGAAATTGTAAAAGAGCCCCCCCAAAAAAAAAAAAAAAAAGAAGAAGAAGTAGTTATTGCTACTACTTTTTGACTGGCATGCAGACTTTTTTAAACACAAGTTAGATATATTGAAATATAAAGCAAAAGTTTGAAGTGTCAAGTCTAATACACCAGAAATATTACAAGCCTAATACTGTACAAGAATTAAGGCATAATTAATCATAAGGTTAAAGGTGTAGACACATCAAATAAATGATTCTGAATAGTAATGCAACAAGAACAGTATCAATATTTAGATTCCACTTTGGAAGAACTCACAACCATTCTAGCACAGGATCAAGACTCCTCCAACAAAACAGTTCCTAGACCATAGAAAACTGAGCTCCTTTGAGTGACCAGGTTCATATTAAGAATCAATCTTAAAATAGGAAAATAAATGAAATCTATGAAATATATATGAGCATAACTTTGACAGACAATGACTGTGAAATCCACTTTGTTCTCTTTTCCCTCCCCCACCTCACCATTTCAAAAATAATATGCCTTCAAAAGCATGTCAATAAATCTGCAAGTTTTAAAATAATAGAAAGCATGTGCCCCATGTGTTGGCCAGATTCATTTTTTATGATATACGTCCTCTGCATTAAAATAAACATTTCTGATAAAGAAAGTAATGAAAAGAAATCAAAAGGATCCATTCCAAAAATTTCACATCTCTCAATGCAACACAGGACTGAATTTATTAAACTTGGCCCCGCTAATTAAATTGAACTTGTGATCTCTAGTTAGAATCACCTGTAAATGATAAAAAGGTGTCCGAAGTTTCAGTTGATGAGGGATACAAAATGTTCTCAAGTCTGAGAGTTTTAAGCTAAGGACTTAAAAAAAATTACATACTTCATATTTTTGGTTTTGTCCTTCTTATTTTAAAAATAAGTGCTTATGAAGATTTTAAAAAGAGAACATTTCTGACACCCACGAATTTCTATAACTACAAGTGAGATGATATTGAAACCAGAAAATAAGAATCCTACTCTAGAATATATTATTAGATCCACATAACTGGTTCTACTTATCAGAACACCCTTGAGGCTATGAAAATATCCATAGCAGAATAATTTAATCACCAGGTAATCCCACATCTCCTGTAAAGAGAAACACATCTTACATTTCAATATCTGCCCTCTTGTTTTTATTCTGAGAACAGGTTTTTCAAGGACAAAATGCTTAAAGTTTCTTCTTTGAACATTTGCGGTCTCTATAAATAACTTTTAATCCTCTCTTTTCAACCAACAATCACAAAATAAAAAATGCCAAAAATGAAAGCTTAATAAGCTTCAAAACAAACACACACAAAAAACTCACACTAGAGTGTGGAAAGGGAGAATTCAAAAAGAAAGTCTTAATGAAAATCCCTAAGAATGAATCCTCTACTCAGGGAACCACAGAAACGCCAACCCATGCCCAAACAACGCACATTCCATCCACTGCACAAACAAATGCACAGTATGAATGCAATGAACTAATTAATGGTATTAAGAAACAAAAATGAGAATCCAGGAGAAATGAATGTGTGTGCTACTATCTTGTAAAAATCAAGAGCTGGTCTAACATCTAGGTCATGTATTTGTATAAATTCTGATTTTTAAACTCACCTGATTCATTTTCAATTCCTGTTGTGTTCTGTAAAGATACACACAACAAAGAAACTTCTTTGATTACATGAACCCTAAAAAGAAAAACAGACAATTGTAATATGTACCTGCCTACAAATTTACAGGGATTTAAAACCACATACAGAACTGTAGAGTTTGCTCAAAGGGCTATTTATAAAGCAACTCTATGCCAAATCAACTTCAATCTATGCTGAGAGCTTCCTTGTCAGATTTATTATCTCCAGTAAAATAGATTTCTTACTACTCTACTAGGGCTTTACTGTACTCTACAACTGAAAGCAGACTCATTAGGATGACATCAAATCTTTACTTTGGAACTGCATCATTCCTAAGAAGAAATAAATTAGCTTTGTTAATAGAAATACAAAGCATTATTGAGTACCTTATTATGCAATATAAGTGTCCTTCTTTTTCTTTTACCAATACTGTGTTGAATGTAAACACCATTAGACCCCATTACATTATTCTGTTTTTCAAGTTCCTGAATTAGAAAGGTGAATTTACTAACATTGGCCACCGGGAGTTCTCTCTGAGGAAAAGAACAAAAAACTGGCAGTAAAATGCAAATGTTTTCATAAAACATGTTTGGAAACAGCTACATTGTCCCTTTAAAAACCCGTGTTCAATGTATTCATAGTACAGTAAATTAAGAAGACAAAATTATTTCTTGTAAGTGCATATGACATGTTTGTTTCTAAATAATAATCTCTGAAAATGGTCCTTTCTGCAATGTATGTCTTAAGAGTCATATGATGTAATTCATAATATATTAAATCACAACACTTTAAGTAGAACTTCCACTGTAAGGTTCTAAACATTTCCCACAAGTTTATATACACACACCATGAGGCATAATTCTCCTATTTCTTTATGCACTTGTTTATAACTTATCTTTCCTTCCTCGACTCACAAGCCTCTGCTCACATTGTAACATTATGTTCTAATTGTTAATAACCCAAAGAATACATTCTTCCTACTGCCTACCCACTGTTTTGATATTTTGCCCTTGTTTTTTAATAAGCTGCTTGGATTTTTCTTTCCTTTTCTTGATCTATTTAACCACTCACCTGATCACCCTTAACCACCAAAGGCACTATATTTAAGTTAGGGCCTGGTCGTCTGAACTACTTCTATTCATAATTGGCATAAGGATGTATTCCATGAGATTGCATCTTGTTAGAGAGCGCACTGCTAGCCAAACCAATATAAACTCTTGGTAAGTAAGTACTCAGAAAAAAAAAAAAAAAAAAAAAAAAAGCCAGAGAATTGAAAGTCAAACCATGAAGTCCATTCCTTTACATTTTAATACTGAGCATCTTTCTCATCTGTATTTACATGTCCTGCCTTAGTAAACATCATATATTGAACATAATCAACCCTCTTCTCTAAGACTTAAGATTGTTATCAAGCTAAAAGTGTATATTTTGGTATTAAATAGTGATGAGGTTAGTCATCTCTCAGATGTATACACCTGACCCTCGACCAGAAATGCCTGCTGACTGCTATCCAGTTCCACGTGGTGGCCCTGCATGACACCTTATTCCCCCAGGTGAGTAAGATGTTAGGGGTTTCACTTGTCCTCTTACAAAGCTTTTACGGGTAGATGTATTAACACTGGCTCAGGGGAGTTCTCTTTGAGGAACAGAACAAAATACATCTGCGGTAAAACGCAAATGTTTTAATAAAAGATGTTTGGAAAGAGCTATAATGCTTTACCATTTCCCTTTGTTTGCCTTTTCCCTCTCACAAGAATCATCGGTATCATGATCATCATCATCATTTATGAAGTTTCTTCCAAGGACCAGCAGGCACTGTGCTGCCTTCAGTGAACCGGCTCAGGTCCCCTTCACCAAAATAAGCACAGCACCAGCATCCTCAATTAACAAGAGCTTAAGATAATTCGGTCAAGGTCTCACAATTTTGGTTTCTGCTAAAGCACTTAAACTACATTTCACCCATTTTTTACTCCTGCCTCCCAGTGAGCACCCACTATGCGTCAAGCACTGCCCTTGAGCAGTGGAAAGGAGGAAGATCCCTGCCCTTTTGGGGAAGACAGCTACAGTAAATACATAAGTAAAATATGTGGCATGCCAGAAAATGAAAGTGCTTTAGAAAAAAATAAAGAGTTACGGAGAGGGAGATAGTTATCACAATCTCTGTCTCTACCTCTATGTGTGCAAATTCAACAATGTGGTCAGAGAAGGACTCAGAAGGGGCAGTCTACATAAAAGCCAGGAAAGGGACAAGCTTCGAACAGGAAAGTATGGGGAGAAATGTTATATGGAGGAGGAGGTGGAAGTGAAAGCGAGAAGCCTCACAAGGCTGCGAGCCTGGGGAAGCAGAGAGGGAGCCAGGATGCTGGTGTGGCTGGTACACAGTCGGTGAGGGGCACATGAAGAAGCAATGTGGGAGGCTGATGCCCAGTCTAACCAAGAGACGATGGGGGCATGGCTCAGGCAGTAGAAGAGATGTGAGAAGTAACTGGATCCTGGATGGACGGACGGAGGGAGGGATGGATAGAATTTTTATTTTATTTTATTTATTTTTTTGAGATGGAGTCTCACTCTGTCACCAGGCTGGAGTGCAGTGGTGTGACCTCAGTTCACTGCAAGCTCCACCTCCCGGGTTCAAGCAATTCTCCTGCCTCAGCCTCCTAAGTAGCTAGTACTACAGGTGTGCACCACCATGCCCAGTCAATATTTTTGTATTCTTAGTAAAGACAGAGTTTCACCATGTTGACCATGATGGTCTCGAGCACCCAAGATGTACTGCAGTTTTAGATCTTAGGCATGAAAGAAAGAAAGGAAGTCAGGGATGGCACTGAGGTTTTTGTCCTGAGGGCATGGGAGGACGGAGCTGCTGTTTTGAGATGCTGCTTTCTTCTTACCATCTGCTTTTCATGTTTTCCCTCTTTATTTAACACTTCTTTTCTTTTCCTCACCTTTTGTCATTGCTAGCTCATAGGCACAATTCAGACAGCTGAGATATCCTAACATCTGATATTGAATAACTAAAATAGTACTTAAAACATTGTATTCTTTATTATCTCAATGAATCTCATGTCTTTCTTTTTTTCTGGAGATGGGGTAGTACTTTGTCACCCAGGTTGGAATGCAGTGACACAATCACAGCTCAGTGCAGCCTCGAACTCCTGGGCTCAAGTGATCCTCCCACCTCAGCCTCCTAAGTAACTAAGACAACAGGCTTGCACCACCATGCCCGGCTAATTTTTTTTTTTTTTTTTTTTTTATTTATTTATTTATTGGCAAAGACGGAGTCTCACCTTGTTGCCCAGGCTATCATCTTTTTCTTTTCTTTTTTTTTTTTTTTTTTTTTGTTGAAACAGAGTCTTGCTCTGTCACCCATGCTGGAGTACAGTGGCGCAATCTCAGCTCACTGCAAGCTCCGCCTCCCGGGTTCATGCCATTTTCCTGTCTCAGCCTCCTGAGTAGCTGGGACTACAGGTGCCCGCCGCCACACCCGGCTAATTTCTTTTTGTATTTTTAGTAGAGATGGGGGTTTCACCTTGTTAGCCAGGATGGTCTCGATCTCCTGACCTCGTGATCCACCCGCCTGGGCTTCCCAAAGTGCTAGGATTACAGGCGTGACCATCCAGCCTGCCCAGGCTATCATCTTTTCTTAATTAAAAAAAGGTTAGAATATAATTCAGATTGTTACATAATTAATAATCTTTTCTTTCTACACTACCTGTTTCCTCCCTGTCCAAATGAGAATGCACTTATTTCTTTCCAGAGAAAAGAAAGATCATAACATCTTTTTCTTAAAGATTCACTTATATATCTGTGTGGGGAGAGCCTCCTCCCTATTACTTCCAATTGCTAAATGCTAAAAACCAGACCCTCATTTTTTCCTCTCTGCCTCTTGGACTCACAAAATTGTCAATCTATATACATAAAATACTGTACAACAACAAAAACACTGTAAATCTGACAGTGAATTCTCAAATGTTATTTTAAAAACTTAATTCTTTATTCAACTATATCAGAAACAAGGGGTATTAAAGGAAAAGAAGTAAGACCTGGGCAGAGTCTCTCAACAGAAGAACCTGCATTTTGGACTGGCCAACTCCTTGAGCAAGACAGTCCCTTTCCTTATGGGCATTTAACATTGCTCTGAGCAATCAACACTAGCAGTGCCTCCAATAATTCTGACAATCGAAAATACCTACACACATTCTCAAATGCCCTTCCAACTGAGAACCTCTGAATGTGGTAACCATGTGATGAGCTGCAACAGGATAATGATGTATTTTAAGGCAACTACAGCATCTAAAAATGTTTGGAATAACTTCCTTAAGATTTCTCCAGCACTGCTCAAAACCCCCATGGAAGTGCCATGGCAATCCTACATAACGTTCATATTCAGTGTTGACTTCAACAGTCCTGTCTTTACACGCCCATGTAACTAACACATGGTGTCTCCAGGCCAAGGTTTTATCAAATGTGAGAACCTGAATGATCAATCCAGCAGTGCAGAGGCAGAGAGAAATCTTTCCAAGCCTATCACTGAAACCTTACCAATTCTGCCAAACGCTCTTTTTTAAAGTGCGAAACAATTAAGTGCCTCTGCTTTGCTAACGGCAGATACTGAAAATCTTTAAATGCCTAGGACTTCTCCAACCTTGGCTTATGCCTTAGTTTCTTTTCTGGATTTCCACGTCTGATCAAACCTTCTTGAATATTTCTACAGCACCCCTTGAATAAGTCTAACATATCCCTTCTATCCCACCTTAATATTTATCAGTCCTATAAGAGCATACACTCTTAGAAAAAAAGTTTGATCTCTATTTTACACATCTAAGATTTTAATATGAGTATATGCACTTAACTTTTCAAGATATCGCTTTCAAGTTCTAGACAAATCAGTCTTAGAAACATTTATTAATAGCATAAAGATGATTTGATGATTAATGATCAGTATCAATATAACAACAATAAAATAATTTGAGTCGTTTTTAAGATACTAGTCCCATAAAGTGTCAATACAACCTCGACAACTGTTAAGCTGCTGTCTTCTGACACGGAAGTCCTGAGACCAGAAAATCTAGACACATGTGGGACAGCCCTTTCCCTGGGTCACACCAGCCCTGCAGCCCCAGCGCTATTACCAATCCTCTGAAATAAAGCAGGCTTATCTAAACAAAGACACAAACTAGCATTAATATAATACATGTTACACTTAAACTGTCTTCATATCTGCCCTTTACGGACTTCTAAAAATCTACAAATCTATATGAAAGGCAAAGTAGGAGCAACAGATTTTTTTTTTTAATTAGTTTAAGTCTGCGGAGGAAGGGACAGAATTGGGAAAATACATATTTGATTTGTACATTCACCTTTAAATCACTGATAAAATTTTTTACAATTTTCTTTAGGATCACTTTAGATCTCTGGCAGGGAGGGAAGAGTATCTGGAAAATAATTAACTTTGCAATAGTCACATAGAAGTCACGGATATTATTTTATAATTATTTTAAGTTACAAAAAATTCTACATTGTGACATCAAGAATCAGAAAAAAACTAACTTTTATGATTCAGGAAGTTTATGGATAAAGAGTAAAACAGAAATAAGAGAATATGTTTTTATCGAATTTAAAAGACCAGAATGAAAACATGGACTAGACACAAGAAAAAAAGTTGCCATTTTGGGAAAGGAGTCTTAGAAAGTTCATGGCCAACATAAAAAAAAATTCTAAAGCTAATCACCACATAAAGAAGATCTCAAGGCAAATAAATACTGTAGCAAATACAGAGATGATTCAGCTTTTAGCAGAGTAGATTTGTAGTGTCGTCTAACACTGACCTTAACTTACTCTGACCAAAAGAGTCTTGCAATCCTGAAACTTCTAGAAAAATAATAAAAATGTCTGAAATATGCCGACTTCTCAAAAAGTTTTCACTGATTTAAAAATGCTATTAACGTATTCACTGTCATAGAAAACTACCACGTATAACTCCTAAATTACAATCTTTGAACTTTTCTTTCTTCAGAAAATCTCCACAACTAGAATCTGTAAACTTCAGATATCAATATGAAAACACATAGCACCCACTTGTTAGATTAAACAAAAGCACAGATATTGAATCTGCCCAGGAATTTGGTAAATGAAAATTCATCAGTTTTCCTTTTCTAAAATAATACAATTTCACAAGAGTAATCATCTAGCTTCATACTAAAAAATATAGCCCCAACCTTGGTATTAAAATGCAGACTATATTACCAAATTAAATAAAGTGAAAAATCAAATCTGATCCTTTAAGAATGAGGAGATTCCATGTGTGTGGAGAGAGAGAGACTGCGCAGACAGGAGAGGTGTGGCAAGCTGCTGAACCAGAGGCAATGAATTCCTTCTGCTTGAAACCACTCATGCCTCTCACCCCCGGAAGGATTTCTCCCAAGACCAAAAGACAATGGTTAACACAGAGTATATCACATACAGCAATTTCCCTACCTACAAATACATAAGAGGAGATACAAGAATAGAATGTTCACAAATAAACCAGTAATTTCTCCCATTTCATTGATCAGTTTCCTCAGTGAGGCCCAGAAAACGCAGACAACTATCGCAGGCCCCGATTCCCCGAATGCATAGAGCAGAGAAACCTAAATAGCCAAGCGGAGTGTATCGGCTTTACTCCTGGTGGGACGATCTGATACTAATAACACAGATTCCATGGAATAGATCAGGAAAAAGCAAGAGTCTGCTGTTCTCAGTGGCTTTAGAGCCGCAGAGCTCCAATGAGAAAATGAGGCTGATTCAAGCTTTTGTTTGAAATATCTAAGTTTATAGAGCTCTGAGGTCAACAGCCCTCCGGCTCCAATGGGCCCCAAGCAATTAAATAACACCATATCAAAATGTCAGATAAGGGACCTGCTGATATGCTAGGAAAGGACTATAAATCCACATTTAGATTGTGGCATTCCAGGGTTTTTTCCCTGTCAGAATATCTCTTCCTTTACTTGGGGAAAAAAAAAAAAGATTAAAGGGGAAATTTTCAAAAGCTACTGCTCCAAGCATCCATTAATAATGAGCCAGCTCAGAAGCAAACGTATGGCAGTTGCTGATTATTTATTCTTTATTATTGATTGCTGTTATTGACAGCTATTAATATATGCTCTCCCTCATACTTTTGATTAAATTTATATACCTAAGTCATATTCCACTGAGCATGTAATTTATTACATCACAAATCTCAAGCTTTGTTTAGGGTTCCTACAATAATTCCCTATAACCCCCTTATTAAAAATACCCAGTTTCTCTAAAGAAATTAAAACATATTATCTTAGCTCTCACTATAGGATATTCCTCCCCTCCAATGGTACAAAAAAAAAAACAACAAAGAATTATTGTCAATTTTCCTGCATGAAGTAACTCCATCCAATCAAAGCACTCTTGAATTAAAATGTTAATTTCCTTTCCTTATTTTCAAGACTAATTGCTAAGAAACACAAATGTAAAAATCTGGGGGCAGGTCAGAATACAAGTTTTCCAATCAGTCCTTGCTC